TAGTATTCCATGGTGTAAATGTCCCACAGCTTTTTTATCCACTCATCTACTGATGGGCACTTGGGCTGTTTCCAGATCTTAGCTATTGTAAACTCTGCTGCTGCGAACATACGGGTGCATATATTCTTTCTGATTAGTGTTTCAGGATTCTTAGGATACATTCCTAGGAGTGGAATCACTGGCTCAAAAGGCAGCTCCATTTTTAATTTTTTGAGGAACCTCCATACTGTTTTTCATAGTGGCTGCTCCAGTCTTCATTTCCACCAGCAGTGTACCAAGGTTCCTCTTTCTCCACATCCTCACCAGCACATGTCGTTTGTTGAAAACTGTATAGTTAGCATTCACACTGTGAATTTAAAACTATGTCAATTTAAGAGGAGTTTGAGATAATAAACAGCTGACTGGGAAAACAAGATTTTAAGATGCTACAAAGTTAATGCTTCTCCTTAAATTTTTATGTTGCTTTCTCCAGTCATGAAGAAAAAGCATCAATGTATTTCTACAGAGAACAATATTCTTTTTTGTAGAAACATGAAATAAAAAGTGAACTACAAACACTAAATCAGAGTGAATTTAGGTTGCTGACTGAATTCCTGAATGTGTTAAACTTTCATTTATATCTCTTCCTGTTTAAAAATCTGATTCTTTCTTTTTATTCTCTCATCCGTATGTTCCTTATGGTTAAAGTAGTTTCAATAGCTAATGATTATTCAAGTTTTAAAGAGGTTTGGGGGAGCTTTCCAGAATTAAGATTTGTATAAACAAAATTTTAAAAACTATATTTTTCTTCCATTAAGTAGAAATATTTTTATTATGTTTGCTAAGTATATATGACCCTTAAGAAAAATCAATCCACTGGTATAAAGAAAGTCCTCTTTTTCCCCCACCATAATCTTTGTTAACAGTTGTGTGGATATTCTTCCTGAGTTTTTACTTTTATGTGTACATTATATACATACATACATAGCATTTTAAAACAAATGGAATATAGCCCGATCCAAGATGGCAGCAGAGTAGGTAGAAGTCACACACACCTCCTCCTAGGACCAAACTGGAATTACGACTAAATTATAGAACAATCAACCTGAATAACCAAGTCAGGGTGTGTATGGGAGGCAACCAATTGATGTATCTCTCTCACATCGATGTTTTTCTCTCTCTCCTTTCAACCTCCTCTCTGAAAAGCAATGGAAAAAAAAAATTTGGGTGAGGATTTAAAAAAAAAGACTCCATTACAGCCTGGCCAGCATGGCTCAGTGGTTGAGCACCAACCTCTGATCCAGGAGGTCACAGTTCAATTCTTGGTCAGGTCACATGCCCAGGCTGCATGCTCGACCCCCAGTAGGGGGCATGTAGGAGGCAGCTTGTCAATGACTCTCGACCCCCAGTAGGGGGCATGTAGGAGACAGCTTGTCAATGACTCATCACTGATGTTTCTACCTCTTTTTTCCTCTCCCTTCCTCTCTCTGAAATCAATAAAAATATATTTTAAAAAATACTCAGTTACAAAAGGAAGGCCCACAAAACCCACATAAGGGGCATGCCTGAAGCATCCAGCTCAGGTGATCAGAGACTGCAGCACTGGGTCCCAAATGAAACTTACTATATAAAGCCACCTAGCCAAGACTAAGAAACACAGGAGATCTACCTAATACATAGAAACACACACAAAGAGGGAACTAAAATGGAAATACAAAAAAATATGCCCCAAATGAAAGAACAAAGGAAATCTCCAGAAAAAGAGCCAAATGAAATGGAAGCAAGCAATTTACCAGATACAGAGGTCAAAAAAATGGTTATTAGGATGCTCAACAAACTTAGAACCTCTGTTATAGAAGAGTAAGAAGTTAGGAAAATTCTATGGCAAGTGAAGAGGGAAACTGAGGCAGATGCTTAAACAGCAGTTTGCAGCCACCTAGTAAATCCTATCTTCCCTAAACCAAGGACACTTAAGAACAAATAGTTTGCACTTCTCTCCAACTAGAGAGTAAATAGCTTAAATCACTCTACTCAGCTAATCAGTGAGACAGATAACAGAAATCCAATTAAGTGCCATTTGCCAACTACACCCAAGGACAGACAAATTAAGAGAATTAATCTCATTTTGGCACCTTGGTATACATCTGATGAATATTCTGTTGATCTGCCCCTAAGACCTCCCCTAAACAAGAAGGTATCAGCTCACTTTCCCTCTAGGAAGCAAGTGCATACCATTCCATACCCACTCTTCTTTCTCAACAAGTATGTAACCCCTAACCTCTAAGGGACCTCATGAGACTTGCAACAAGGGGAGCAATGAGCAGCAGCAGCAGCTCATTCCAGGCTAACCCCCTGAACCTATCTCCAAGGTCCCTTTTCTCTGACCTCCCAGGGACCCAACGCAGCCCAGCCCAGGCACCCTTGTTGCTTCTTCTATGTCCTTCCTGTTTCATTGCCCTAAGTGTGCTTTTGCTGTGGCCAATAAATTCTTGCTTGCTTTTATACACTTTATTTATTGATTGAAATCTTTCCTTCAAGAAGACAAGAACCAGTCTCACTGTCTTCTCTTCCCGATAACACTTCAACAGCATGAAAAAGGGCATAAAACTCATAAAAAAGAACCAATCAAAAATAAAGAATGCACTTTCTGAAATGAAAAATACGCTAGAAGGAATAAACAGAAGATTGGATGAAGGAAAGGAATGAATCAGTGATTTGGAAGACAAGGTAGCAGAAAACACCCAATCAGAGGAGCAAAAATAAAATAAAAATTGGCAGAGGTAACTGGAAATTCAAGAAAAAGGAGAGGACCATAGTATGGTATGGCATCTGCCCCTAATTGTTAGGTTCAGACAAAAACTTAATGTTCCTGAGGGCTCACCTATCCCCTCCATGAGAAAGTAACTTTTAGATGAACTCAACAACCTGTTCGTTAAGCTTGGTGCCTCTCCACTTTCAGAAAAACCACACGCATGTCAAAAATTCCCTCCTTACACCCTATAGAGAGACTTCCTCCCAAATCATTCGGTGCTGATGCCATTTGGAGCTCAGCCCATCTGTATTCAAATGCCCTAATAAAATTGCCTTTACCTTCTCATCTGGCGTCGTGTGTTCTTCTTCGGCAAGCCTAACACTAACTACCCTCTATGAGTGATGTGGAACCCCAAAGGACTTCAGCTTCTAGACGTATTCCTAAGGCAATTCCAAGATGACCACAGGTTAACTGGAAGCTACAATGACTCTCCCAGGATTAAACAGGAGTTACATCTAAAATATATGAAAATCATCCTGAATAACCAACTGAAGACTAGCTGGAGAGAATCTTTATAACCAAGGACATAATGAGGAGGCTATATCAAGACTGATAGGAAATACGGAGGTGCAAGAGGGCTGGCTAGACTCCCACAGACAACAGTTGAAATTCTGGAGGGATATCTCAGCTGTGAGGGGTTCCCTCTGAGAAGTCTGGGGTCTAAACCCAAAGCTGTGCTCCCCAGCTCAGAAAAACAAAACCAGAAAAGGTGCCCACATAACATCTGGCTGTGAAAATGACCAGGGGTTCTGTATGGTGGGAAGAGATGGCTAGAAACACAGGCACCCTCTAACAGGGGCAACACACTAAATTTCGTGTAAAGCCACTCACCTTGGGTTCTGGCAGAGGGATAGCTGAGTGCACTAGAGCTGTGTGAAGAGAGTCTGGAGTTGGTGGCTCTGGGGATAGAGCTAAGAGGACAGCCACCAGGATCCCAATGCTGAGTCATTCCCCTATACTGCAGAAGCTATCTTTCTCAGACAGTGCTTTCCTATTAATGCAGCTTTATCCTCCAGGGAAGCAAGTGTATCACCCATTGGAAACCCTCCCGCCCCATCCTGTGGAGTTTATGCCCTGGAAAGGACTACAGCCTGGGGGTCATTAAGCGAGTGACACTAACAATGAGCTTGCAGGCAGAGGCAGATATCTGAGTTATTTGAGTCTCTGCCTGACCTGCTTCTGGGCCCGGGGCTAGGAAAAGCAGACCTTGTTGGTCAGCTTGGTCTTTTCCTCACACACTTGGCCTCAGCACAGGGAACCACAAGTGATGGATCAGTGATAGATCCAAACAGGGTAGTCAGGGCCAGTTACAAAGAGCATCT